CACAAAAGGGGAAGGGGTCCCTCTGTCACATATCGCACCATTTGATAATCCACATTGGCCTGTTTTTTAAATGTATCACTCGAGGTCTGTCCTCCCCTATTTAATCCGTCCTTTGCTAGTCCTTCCACTCCATCCTTCCCCTACACTGGTGTGCCCCCACCCAATGAATCCCTTTTGAGTTTCTCCTCCCAACCCCGGCCTGCATGCTTGTAAGTCCGGTCCCTACATATTTGTTTCTTGTACCTCCAGCATTTTTGCCTCGGAAGAAGAACGTCAGGCCACATCAATTTTTAGATTTATATTTCAAACAGAACATTCTGATCAAATGGCAACATTTGCACTGATGCAGTGTCAGCAAGTGTCGAAATAAACTGAAGCAAGCAAACTGAACAATTCACTGTGAATAGCCTATGCGATATGGACAATCTACCATTAAAAATGATGGTTTAATGAAACAAATAACAAAAGCCCGACGAAATTCAAAGCAAATGTTATTCTCTACCGGCTGCACACGCGTTCCGATATCCGGTTCTTCACTTTTACCAACACTCAATGGACGTACTCGAAATCATCCTATGGATAAACTGCAGATGTGCTCCTCGGAGTAAATCAATAACACTGTTAGTTCACGAACGTATGTCATTGTCAACCCTAATTTAAACTCTTGCTGTGTCTACTTTGCCTGCAATAATCCATGTTGCCATGTTTGTTCACAAACAACACATGCTCTACAATTCGTTCGTCTAATACACAGAGCTTAATCGATTTGGGTGCGAAGTCTAGCTAAAGTTTTAAAATGGGGACCTCAATACAAACACAATCGTGTACACTTATACTCATGGTTTGTGCATTATTAATACAGGCCCTACATGCAATCGTTGCAGCCTAATGAGACGTCATTATGCGCACTCAGCTACACTGGAGACCAGAAATGGCGATTTCTTGCTGGGGCTGTTGGAGTTTAATGCATCGGGAGGTCCCCGCTGACAAGGTTTCTGTTGTGCTAAATCGTCATCAGCCGCCAGCAATTTGCGTCATTGTAAAGTTCTCGCTTAGTCCCGTGCGCCCTGTTTAATCGCGGTCGATTTAACTGGAAATTAAAGAAACCAGGAGAAGAAGGGAGGATTATAATCCACGACCACGCCTGGGGCATTAAATTCATACGTTTGGTTGAAACTCTTTTTGTAAAGTGTTTAGAAAGACTTAGTGTGGATGGCGTGAACGGATTATTTCGTTTCAGGGTGTTGTGACTGAATAATGCAGAATTGAAGAGATACATGGTTGATTTAGTTGAGTCCGGTACTCATGTTTGCGCTACTACCCTCGCCTTCCGTGACCTCTGCGGGTTCGATTCCAACCCAAGCTTATACATCGGGGATTGGGTTTCCATAGCTAATTCCGTGAGTTTTCCCCGAAAACATTGGTGTCGGGTTCTCCTCCTACAACATTTCTTCGTCGACTTCTCTTCCCGTTTCTTCCAGCTTTCTTGCTACAGTGCTATAACTGCTTTGAAGAATGATCAAGCAGGAGGTCACGTTGTCAGACATACAGCAATATTAAATAAAACCGCAAAAACTTTCCAGCCTCAAATTATTCAATAACTTACACATCTTGGCCCTTTAGGTAAACTGAGGTGTGCTACACAACATAATGAAGGACACAAAGCCACTTTTTGTCATTATCCTTCCCTCCGTAAAATACGACCGTGCCTATAGCATCAATCAATCCAAGGTAGAAACTTCGCACGGCAAGGACAACTACTGCCAACAAAACACCGACATGATGCGCAGGAAGCCGTGAGTCAATCTATAGGGCCATTTAGTGCTTAGGACGGACTATAAAAGATCCACAGGGAACCCCCTGTGGTAGCCAAAGTCTTTTATCCCCACGGTGCAGCATATTTCCATGAAGGCAAATTATTACATTAAGTTAGCTCTGTGCGCGCTGAGCGCCCCATTGCCTTGTTTTCGACTCGCAACTAACTGCGCGAACCTGCACTCTCGCCTCTTCGCGATCGCCACGGGACAACTAGGGCAAGCTGTCATTTTTTGCGCCCAAATTAACGGCGGAAAATGGCTGTTTTATTTGCCGTGGTGAGGGCCAAACAGCACGGGAGCTGGAAGCTGAAGGAACCTACTCAGTGATAAGTCGTATAACTTGGAGCGCACTGCATTAGGCACGTGCGACTTGCGCGTCTCTGTCGTCTATCTTCTTTGGATTCAGGATTGTGTAAAACAAAATGTAAACAGAACGTCGAAGAAAGTTCAGTAACCCCATCACTCTTGGCACTTTTCACGGAAAGAAACTTTCAAAATCAACCTGTTTGCAGGAAACCCAGGACATATTGTATAATGACCGTAGGTACATCCACGTGGCAGCAAGTCCAATCTAGGTAACAGTAAGCTTTACCCTTTCCAAAAATCTTACAAACTCCTTCAAACCCAACTGATTGTACGATTGAACGATTGAACGATCTATGGGACAGAGTGGCGGATATATGATTTTTTTCCAAGGGGTGCCTGAGTTTTTTTTTTCAAGATGGGGGGAGGGGAGTGGCTAAGCTGAGGTTTGAAGTCAACACATAGTCCTAAGCCTTAGGCAATGAACCGGGATTGGCAATAAGAACATTAGGCCTAAGTCATTTCAAGAACGACAATATTGGGATTTTTCTAGTAATATGTAACCATAAAACAATAACAAAATTGCTGAAGCAGATGGCAATAATTAGCCACCCAATCACCCCGGATCCGTCTTTGTGGCAGTAAAGTAGACTTCGACAGATTTTGAGTCAGATATCAGAAATATATCATTGAAAGTAAACAACAGAATGACACAATGACAAAATCATAGCGATGAGCATTACGTGATCATGTCATGTAAAGCAATGGCTTAGAAATAATGAAACAACCAGACGATACATATTATTTTGAAGACACTCCTGTTTGATTCGAATCCTGTATGAAAAAGGGATTCAATTCTTTGCAGCACAGAATAACTTGGACAGCCAAGGCCCCCCCCCCCCAAAAAAAATTAATCAGTATACCAGACTTAATTGTCGGTGCCAGCCTCTTCATTCTCCAAGAACTTTCCCCAGCAATTTGATGTCTTCGGCTGCAACAAATGCATGACCGACGAACCATGACTATTGGCTTCATAATAAAATAATTTACTACTATGGTCGCTGAAGTGGCCTTCGAGGCCAAACCCGTATGGGCCTATGCTAATCCCACATCTAATTGGTACCATAAATGCATAATTTATATCCTAAATTTCATTATTTATACCATGAATAAAAGAAGGGAACTCACCGCGTAACTGTACTTTTAGTTTAGGTACTTGGGTCTCGTTTCTCGAATTAAATAACAAAACTATGTTTTCAAGGATGATTTCGAAAACGAAAATGCAAAACAAAACAAAATTAAACAAAACAAAACGAAACAAAACAAAACAAAACAACAACGGGTGATCATACAGTAAAGGCCCCAAAGATTTAAAAGCCTATTCACCAAAGGGGATAACCATGCATCCTTTAATCCTTAGTCTCTGAAATTTCGACATGAAAAGCTTACGCTGACATTATAAAAACACATATCTCTAAAAATCCCGCAGACTGATTGAAATCGCATCAACATCCATCAACAATCATTTTGTTTTAAACAATGAGGGTGCCAAATGTCTTTCTTCTAAGTCAGACATGGGTAATTCACACTACAGGGTGGTGAAAAAAGAAGGAAACCCCCTTTTGACAGCAATTTTCACCTGCTTGTTGAGCATATTTCAAAAATTCAATTTAATGGTATTAAAATATTGATATTGATCTTTAAACATAAGTGACGAAAAAATGATTGCAAATGCATGTTTTGACTCTGAGTGTGGTAGTTAAAAATATATGCCAAACCTGTTTGTCCACGGACGGCTTTATTCCATCCGCTTGACTGAGCTCCGGAGCTTAAATAAAAGACAAAAACACAACTAGACTTACAAGTGCATGGACAACAGTGATTTTGGTGACTTGTGTTCAAATTAGCATAACAATTCTTGCGATTTTTAAAAAGATTTTCTTTCACCACGTATGGTTAAAGAGCTATATAGGCCTACTTTACTACATTATACCAAAAAAAAACCACTTCAAATAAGTTGAATAGCCTAAATAGGTAAAATTTCAGTCCAAAGTGGGTTTCCTTCTTTTTGCACCACCCAATACAGAAATGATCTGTTTGGGAACCATGCGTTTATACAAAATTCGCTATACGACGAACTGGGTTTTAAGTACAGTATTGACGTTGCAAAAGCTGTGCAAAGTAAAGTACTATTTTGGAGTAAACAGGTCCAGTCCAACTCTGACAACAATGGGGAATTTGTATACATGGTATTTGTCAGGTCGTATTTTTGTTCCACAAAAATAGCAATGGTGAAAAGTGCCTGACCCGAACTGTGACGCCGTCAAAAAAATTGGTCCACCAAAGTTTTGCGTGGCACACTCGTTTATTTCATGAAGTAACTGGGTCGGAACAAATTTCAAATAAATCGAACAACTAACAACAAACAGCCGTCATAGAATAATGTCCTTTTTGACCACAATTTGTTCCGCAGATTACCAGTCAATGTGCATAGAATATTCAAGTACAGCTTAAAGTTTTGTGCTTATTCTCGCGCGGGTTAGCCAAGACTCCCGTTTAAGTTAATAACTTAAAATGCTGTGGCGACAGGGTGAAGTAGAATTTTCTTGCTAGAGTTGTACAGTAATATGCACAGAACGATGACCATACGCGCAGAATTCCATGGATAACAGAGTTTTGAAATTAGGCCCGAAGTATATGAAAGATATCAACACTCACCGCCAACCTTAATTAAAAATTTTTACCAATACACACTGTCATAACTGCATGAATCCTCATAGATGAAGCAACCGAAATGCTCCTACTCATACCACGCGTAATATTGCAAACAACATTGAATGCAACATTTCATCACTTCAAAATGTATATGACAAAACTTACCGGCCACTGAATGGCTTGCCCTCTTGGTCTCCCTCGCGTTCAGAGCCGAAATAATTTCCCTTTGCCGATAGAACTGACGTCAAATCAACTGAATACTGTTGAAGCCTCTACCGTCATCCGATGAGACCAAGACTTGAGAAGAGTACACAGAAAGCTCTGGCTGGAATCGGAGACTAGTCGCTCACTGACAATGCAAACTCGACACTCCTCCCTTTTGTATGGTCACGTCCTAAAAAGTATGTTCAGCATCCGCATTACAAACTGGTAGATTGTTGATCACGATCGATAATGTTTTCAAGGACTCTCCGAAGCACACGTGTCTGCTGTTTGTCCTCCCAATATTTATATTTAAGAAAAAGTTCAGAGTAACTTTTGCCAAATCCACTAAAAGGGCACGTGGACGAAAACTGCTCGATTTCACATCGATCAAACCATCACACGAAGGCGCATGAGATGTGTGAACGCACGATCTGCTTAAGAGCCTCGCACTTAGCTCAGTGTGTCGGCTAATGCGTGTATTTACGCCTCATCATGCTTGCAAAGAGAAAGACAAAACTCACGGGTCGAGGCAGAAGCTTTTAACCTCGTCCTGATGACTCTACCTCGTAGACACAGTGGGCCACTTGATAGACTGTCTGTCTCGCACGAGGGCCAGAAAAATATTCCCCGTGCTGCACTCTTTGCTTTTTTACCTGCTGAGTGTTAGGCGAGAGAAGAAAAAGAAGAGCTTTACTTCACTGCACTCGGTCGGGCTGATGAATTGGCAAGACTCCTGTGTGTTGAACTGCCCGGCCATTCAGTCCCCAGGCTTACCTCCACCGCTGTATTTAATGCGAGGGAAGTCTATAACGCTGTAGCCCCGCTGAGTCGACCAGGGAGTGCGTGACCTCGCGTTCTGTGACTGATGTGAATGAGTATTGTGTACATTCGGCACGGCATAACTAAACTACCGCATTGCAGCAGAAAAGAGTCAACCCCCCCCCCTTTTCACCGGCTCTACGCTTTTACCCTTGAAGAGAAATATTTGACATTTTTGGGAGGTTTATTATTTCCCTGCCGGGTGCATGCACTGGCGTGTTTTCATTTCTAATTTCGAGGCACTTGTAGGCCCTCAAGTGTTGCGGGAGGATGCTGTAAATGATGTAGGCTAAGATTTGCAAGCAATGAGGTTCTTGGACCTGATAAGGGGCGTTTCCCTGATAAAGCTTGCCGCTCCACCCTGCTATGCCCCTCCATGAGGTTATGACAGTTACAAAAAACCATGAGGTTAAGACAATTACTAAAAACCATAAGCCATAGTACAGAATCTACCAGGGACTGGTTTCCTTATTCATGAAACTGTTAAGGATAGAAATATGCAGTACGAAAACAGGGCACCAGCCAAAATGACATGTGTTGTGTTCTGCTTGTCACTGCAGGGTTCTGAGCCGACTAACGCCGATCACATGAAGCTGCTTAGCGATAACTATTTTCTGCTTACCAGCTATGAAACTGGGTCAGCACTGATATAGACCGTATGCGTAGTAGTTTGAGAGGGCAACGCCTTTGTTTTGCTGGGATATGTATGAGTGAATTAACCCTTTGTGCATTAATTGTTACTGAATAAAACATAACAAAAGACGCCTTCGAAACTTGCTGCTACGCTTGAGTTCTGTATTGTGCCCCTGCACCCACAAATCCATATATTACTACCTGTCTGAAACGAGCAATCCCCTCAATAAGTGTTACATTTAGACGGCATGTCATGCCAGAGATTATCTCTCTGATTCCCAGCCCACCACGGGAGTCCCTACGGGCTAGGCTACGGCCTTTCCCGGTCCAGAATCCCTCAGACAAAACCTTTTCCAAAGTTAATTTATTAGGTTAGAGGGAAATGTTTGCCCAACAAAAGTATGAAGCAAAGACTTATTATATAAAAGGCTATAGGTTCTTAAGATATGTCCCAAGGATGCCTTTATTCCCCAGACGAGCCTCCTTGAATTGGAAAAGAATTGTAAAAAAAAAGAATCCTAGCCTAGAGGGCTAGCCAAGGTATAGGCATGGTTTACAGTGTCTGAAGGTGTGATCGTGGCACTTTACCACAAAAAAATTGGGCGTTACTTGATTTCAATCTTAAATGACGTCAAATCACACCGTCCCATGAGACTTATATGCTGTTATTTCAAGTAATTTATTTTCAAGGAAATCAATAAACGCAGTCCTTTGTGTCACAGAACGGCTGCTCTGTCTGCTACAAGCGTGTGAATCGGCTAACAAATGATGGACGCTCTTTGCTCTGTTTGAGTCAAACTTGGCAAACAGAGCTCTTGATTATTTGTTCACGTTACGTTTATTGAACACGATTCAAACGTTAACATTGAAAAGGAGCTTCTTCATAGACCATTATCGTGTTGCGGCCATCTGGATTTGTTCCCATTCAAATCAACGTAACCAAAGCGAGGCTAGAAGGAAAATAGTCTGGTCACAAAAAACAGTATCATTCAGTACTGTTATTGGATACAAGGAACATGACTGAAATGGTGGCAGCATGATAAAGGTCTATTCAAGGAAAATTAAACATTACCTGTACTTCTGTAGCATTTTTCAACATCGTTGAAAATTGCCGTGTCCCTCCGTTCCAACTGCTGAGAATTAAATATCACTCCGTAACTCACTTGTTTATTTTTCAACTATTTAAATTCTAAAAGCTTAAGAACCTGAACTCTTAACTGGTACAGTATTCTTGACGCCAACGTGCGGACTTTTCACTTATTAATATGAATAAAAAAACCTCCGCACCATAAACACCAGTATAATCAAGACGTTTGGCGACATCACGCCCGGCGCCAAGCCAATGTAGGCGAAGGAGATTTGATCTTCGTGTGTGACTCTTAAACTGTCAATTTTAAATTAAAATTTGTTGAAATGAATTGAGACGAAACCCAGCTTTTTTTTTAAACTCAAAACATTTCTTTTACATCAAAAGCAAATCCATCAAGATTATAGTAATCTAAATCCAGGATTTTTTGTTTATTAAACAAAGGTGTAACGTTTCATACTTTTACTTGGAGCTTCTAAGTCGGTGGAAAACTTTTAAAAACCTCAGAAATCTCAGAACAGTCTGTACTGTCAACAACATGGCAATCACATTCTACGACCTTCCAATTCTTCCCCGTCTGCGCGGACTATTTATTCTCTACAAGGATTCACTTGCATTACTCGTGGAATGTCTTGGCCCTTGCTCCGTCGCAGCCTGAAGCCGACAGAAGTCAACAACTGAAAATGGTCAACGCCGGGGGGTTTGGTTCCCTTGTCAGGTTTTGTGACAGCTTTCCCTCCGGTGTTTTGTAAACATCCAATGGCCATAAAACGATGAAAATACAAGATTTGGGAGAATCGATTTCTTTCTTTTTTTAACCAGAGGCAAGGAGGTGGTGGTACAGATGGAGGTGATCAACCCGTTGTTCTTTTCTTTACAGTACGTCTACCGTGCAAGCTCATGGAATGGATTTCAATCAATCTAACCAGCCTTTAAATAAACTGGCAGGTAGTTGGTTTGAAGCCCTTGTTTGGGAACAAGCGGTGACCTTCTTTAACGGTGCATTAAACGCCATGAGCTATAATTTGGGCAAAGAGACGGGTACGTGTAGGCCTAAGCTGAAGAGAATGCTAATCTTACTCCTTTGTTATCGCATGGAGGAAGGAATGGATCGTCACCGCTGTGTAATCTATCTAAATCTGAACATGGATTTTTCTTTAAAAAAAAACAACACAAAGTGTGAACCTTTATTAAACGTTTGCAAAGCTAGCTTGATCGTTTTATTATCTTTCTCCGAAGGCTGAATCTCTAATTACGAGTATTTCATTAGCTCATAATTTAAAAATAACCTACATACATTGGTCTATTTTCGGTATGTTTTGGATTATTTGTTTGATATATTTTTGACTTATAAGTATTATAGTCGATTTAGAAGGACCGTACGTTTGTTTCGACCAGTGAGGGTGATGATAAGAAATCTGAATGTTTCCGGTTTTCCACTTTCCATCATCCCTTTAAACCGACAGTTGGTGGCGCTGTTCAGGGACTGGAACTTGTACACAAGTCGTGTGTAGACCTACTTACCCGCGTGTTACCACATTTCCCAGCAGTTTGTTTTTATCACTCAGGGTAGCATTTCTTCCCCCTGTTCTCTTACTACTATAACTTTGCTTGGTCATGCCGACAGAAAGACTTCATGATCGGTATCTTTTGTCAATTTACAAATCCGCGGGGATAATCCTGCCGGTAAAAGAAAGTAAAATGATGGGGGAGTATATCTTCCCATCGCGTCCTGGGATTTCCACCTATTTTTTAAAAAAAATTTGTGGGGGGGGGGGAGAATTTCTTCCTCACCCTTTAATGGAATATACTTAAAGATAATATACAGCATTTGCAAACATCAAAAACAAAATTAACACAATTATTATGATATACCTTACCTGACTGTAAGTGAATAACAGTCTCAAGCATCCTGTGAAATCATAACACCTGGTGTGCTGTCATTTTCAAGAATAGTCGAATGTTTGTATCGTTATTCTTTTTTTCAAGTACTGCCCCCATTTACCAAATTTAGTCAGTCCACATTTTGTTGGCAATCGGTTTAACAATTCTGTGGACGGGTGCAAGCTAGCTAGTTCGGTTCCCTGACCTGACAATTCCCTGACTCTACAAATTGTTATGGTTTGTCTGAAGTAGGGTCAGGAACCAGACTGCAAGAATTGGCTGGTTTTTCAAGCACTATAAACACAAAACTTGAAACAGGTCAGTGTAACAATATTTACTACGAAATACTACCCCCTCCCCCCCCAAAAAAATTCATTTCTGAAAATTACAGCAAAAGCAAATGTTGTATATACCTTTTATTGCCGATGAAAATCATCGGTGCTGACGGAAGAAAACCTCCCACTCCAATCCCATCCCCTCCTGAAGAAGACAAAAATAAGAAGTCAACAACTCGTACAGACAAATAAAACATATTATGATAAAAAATGAATGATTGAGATTCGTGGCGCCTCACTTACTGACCCAATAAGATTTTCCCAATGATTACACGCTGATTTCGTTTAAAGGTTCTCAAAATGAATATGGCTACTGATTTTTTGGTCTAGATTCGGCCGTCGTTAGCTAAGGTTGCTAAGGCAACGGTTCAAGACAAAATGATGTTAGGAAGTACAGCGATAAGGGGGGGGGGTTTGCTCAGTGAAAAACAGGGGGCGAACACGAAGTCTGAATAGTTTTACAACTACTTTTTAGCGTATATAGCCCTACTAAATCTTGTTCTGGATCTGACATTATTTAATCGGTGAACTTTCTTTACGGAAGCCTCACATTTTGAAACTCTAAGTTGATCAGATTTTAAAAGGTCAACATCTCCAAGAACATTTTGAAAACCCTCTGTGCTAATACCGGTGTCATCCACATCAAGAATCTTCACGTTGATAACCCTGATCACATATGGATATTTAACTTCTGACTCCTACAAAAACAAAGCACTGTAGTCGGAGTTAATGAATAATCAAAGTCAAACTTATCAAGGCAATCGAAGACAGCCAGGTGCAACTTAAAGTACGAAAATGTGCGTTGAAGGGAATCTAGTCGAAGCTATATAACGATCGACGCGCGAGTGTTTTCAAGACTTCCCGTCAGGACTCGGGTACAAGTATCTCAAGTTATTTCTCAACAAACTAGACAGTATTTTGATTGTGTTGTTTTAAGGGTGTACTTTTTTTTCTCAAATGTATTCAGTTCAGGTTTTGTCCTGCAACTGAGACAGAATTGTATTGGAACTCTGTCGAAAATCTTTCAAATCTCGTCATTTTTGATATCCAGGGAGGCCAACTATTCAGTAACCAAATCTTCTGGCAGAGTGGTCGCAGCAATCAGCTAAATGTCAGAAATTGG